TAATATAAATGGAATTTTTTTTTTTTTATAGAAAAATCTGGATGAGGCAGAAATTGTAAGTTTTCCAAAAATACATTTATTAAATATTAGATATTAAAAAATCAAGATCAATTTTTATAATATATCGTTATTAATGGATAATTGTTTCTGAAAAAGGCGGTCAAGTTCGTTAGAATAGTTGCGTAAAAACAAGTTGCACTTAAAATGAAAAATTTTTAGACTCTCCAAAATATGTACTACAAAAGTAACATATATAAAGTAATATATATATATTTATATACACATATATATTATATTATCTTAAATTAAACAAATATAAATTTTAATTTTACGTATTATATCGTACTTCTATATGATATATTTCTATATTATGTTTAATTATTTCTGAAATACACAAAATGGAATAAAACCATATGCTTACAGCGTAAGCATTGTTTCATTTACAGAAATTATTACACATTTTGTTTTAATTGTAATTAGTTTATTACTTCAAATCTGAAAACTTAGAACATGTATTTTTAATTATCCTTTTTTAAATTTTTATTAGCTCCAGAATAATACTTACTATTTTTTTTACAAGTAATGCATATATATTAAATTTAAAAAGTGAGGAGTTTATATATTTGTGTGTGTGTACATACAAGGTAACTAAATATTCGAGTGTTAATTTAACGTAATATAATTATGTTATTTAAGGATTAAATTAATTTTCAATGTGTCTTAATTTCAAAATTATACAGTTTATGAGTAAGCAAATGTATATAAGCAATTTTCGTAGTTAAACCACTATATTGTTGTAGTTAAAATGGGTTTCTCGGATTTAGCACAATGTGGAAAATTTTCTCTGTCCCTTTATCTCATATTTTTTAAAATTATTAATCGGAAATATCTTGCGTATATGTTTTAGTTATAATATAAACGGAATTATTTTTTTTTATAGAAAAATCTGTTTGAGGAAGAATTGGTAAGTTTTCCAATAATACATTTATTAAATATTAGATATTAAAAAATCAAGAACAATTTTTATAATATATCGTTATTAATGGAT